CTTTGTGCTGCAAACCATTTCAATAGTGTGTGCAGTTGTCTCACTGTGGTTTTAATCTGTGTTTCTCCCATGACTGATGTTGAATTCTTTTCTTGTCTTTATCAACAGTTTCATAGCTTATTTTTATAAATTACCACTCTTCAAGTATATTAACATTTTAATTGAGCTGTCTTACAATGCATTGTAGATTTTTGAGTGTGTGATGGGTTTTTTCGAGATAGAGTCTTGCAAACTATTTGCCTGGGGCTGGTTTTGAACTACGATCCTCCTGATTACTACCTCCTGAGTAGCTAGGATTACAGGCATGAGCCACCAGCACCCAGCTGTGTACATTTCTTTATATTTTTAGGAAAGAAATCTTTGTCAGATATCTACTGGAAATAGTTCCCATTCTATTGCTTTTCCTTTTCATTTAAGAGTTTCAAAGGGCAAGGGCTCTTAATTTTGAAAAGTACAATTTATTATTTCTTTCTTTTACAGTTCATTGTGTGTCCTAAGAAATCTTTTCTGAATAGCCCTGGTACATTTTACATGGCAGTTTAAGTTATTTTAGGGTTTTTTTTTCTTCAATTCTATCTTACTAGAAAATCATTTACTCTAAGCAATGTTCTCTTCCCATCCTACTGATATCTGTGGTTCCTTTTACTCATTACAAATCTTGAACAATTTTGCTCTTTATTTTACTCAACTTTTTGTGGGGTATCTACCGTATTAAAGTTTTAAAAAATCCTTTAAATAGAAAATGAATTATTTTATACATTCATGCATGAGTAAGTTTAGGTATGTTTTTGAGTACAAGATAAACCTAAAATACAATGGTCTATACAAAACGTATTTATTTCAATTTTGGTGATATTGGAGTTGAACTCATGGCCTCCGTTGATAGGCAGGTGCTCTATTACTTGAGTCACACCTTCAGCCCTTTTGTGTTGGGTATTTTTGAGATAGAGTCTCGCTTTATGTCTCACTAGCCTGGACTGAGATTTTCCTATTTGTGCTTCTGTTATAACTAGGGATGACAGGCATGTGCACTGTACCCAGTCATTGGACAAGATGGGGGGGTGTCTTGTGAACGTTTTGCCCAGCCTGGCCTTGAACCACTATCCTGCCATCTTCCCCCTTGAGTAGCTTGATCTACTGGTTCCAACCAAAATGTATTTATTTTTAATCACATAACTTAAGTCTGAGGATCAGCTGCTGTTAGAGTTGAATCAATGTCTAGACTGGTGTGTCTGATTCTTTTGGCCTTTACCCAGTGGCTGAAAGTTTCCCATTGCCCAGGGCACCACATCAGGGTGCTGGCAGCAGTTATACCTGCCCTTTTCCAGGAGAAGCAAAGGTTTTCCCAGCATTTATCTACCTATGTTTTGCTTCTCTTTGCTGCTCCCAGCTTTGAATGATGAGGGAGTGAGTAAGCAGTGAGGGAGGAGCACTCAAGGTATGTGTTGTTCAGCAGACAGTGTCTAACACTGTCAAAAGTACCTACTTATGGCCAAGAAAAGAATCACTTCCTCAAAAGACATAAAAGATATAAAAATTGTATAGAACACCTTAAAATGCTATAAGAAATTATAAAAGAATACAGCTATATTTAAACAAGTAAAAATAAAATTATGTAAATGGAATGTACATGCAACGTGAAGACAAACAATAGATGTTTATAAGGCTGGGGTGAAACCAAGGTCCTGTGCATGCTAGGACCCAGCCCTGAATCACTACCTTTACCATAAAACAACTAAAAGTTGATGACACAGGGCTGGGGTGTAGCTCAAGTGGTAGAGTGATTGCCCAGCAAGCATAAGGCCCTGAGTTCAAACTCCAGTACTACCAAAAACAAAGTAATAAATTGATGATATAATGGCTAAAAAGAAAAATGTATCAATAAATGATTTATAAAGGCAAGGCAAGAATAGCAAGTCAGGCGGCCAAGAAACATTTAGAGAGGCATACTAATATGCAAACTAAAATTAAAACTAGTTATTACTTTAACCTCATAAAACTTATCAAGGTTAAATAGTCTAATGGCTGGGCTGGAGGTGTGGTTCAAGCAGTAGAGTGCCTGCCTAGCAACAGTGAAGTCCTGAGTTCAAACCCCAGTACTGCTTTTGTGTGTGTATGTGAGGGGGGGTGGTACTGAGGTTTGAACTCAGGGCTTCACACTTGCTGGGTAGGCACTCTACCACTTGAGCCACTCCACCAGTCCCAAAAAAGCTACTTTCAGTAGTGGAAAGGGCAAACATTTACATACTACAACTGGAAACATGAAAATGCTGCATCCCTATTACAAAAAAAGAAAATCTGACATCTATTAAAATAAACATATAACTGAATCCATCAATCCAACTTCTAGAATATTCTACACAAAAAAGTATCTCCAGAAAGGAAGGACATGTTTATACCTGTCCATTAATGTACTATCCTATGCAACCTCTTGTTTTTTGTTTTGCTTTTTGGTAGGATTGGGCTTTGAACTCAGGGCTTTGTACTTGCAAAGCAGCTCCTCTATGGCTTAAGCCAAATCTCCAGCCCATTTTTGCTCTGGTTATTTTGGAAATGGGGATCTCACTAACTATTTGCCTAGGCTGGCCTTGCACCTCAATCCTCCCAATCTCAGCCTCCCAAGTAGCTAGGATTTCAGGCAGAGCCACTGGTGCCCGGCTCTATGCTACCTCTTGAGGATGGTAATCATTTTGCTTGGTGACAAAAATGTGAATAATCATTAACAAAATTGCCAAAAGAATCATGGTATACCCACACCACAGACTTTTTGCAGACAGTCATTAAGTATAAACGGTCCAAAAAATGTGTAAATTATATAGTTCCACTAATGTAAAACAATGAAAATGCATATGCCCAGATGAGATATTAATATGTAAGTGATTGTGAGCATAAAGAAAAGCATAGCTTATTAGCCCTGATTTTCTGTTGATATACTATTGGCATGACTGGAGTTGCTATAAGTACAAAAAATCAACATGACATAAAATGTTCTAAAAGTCACATTCACACAAAGTTTTGTGTGTGTGCACATAATGTTTGTTTAAGTACAATTATAATCAGGAGGAAGGCAATTGTTGGGCTGGTCTATTTGTCTAAGATATCAGTAAACCAAAGGAACTCTTACTTCTTGTGGAATTTGCTTCTATAAAAAAGCAAATTTTGGAGTCTTTGCTCCATTTCCTGTGTGGGGAACAGGAAATGTTTCTCTCTCTTTTCCTCTCCACCCTCTTTATTTCTACTTTATCCTGTTATACTAAAATAAATACTTGCTAAAACATTAAAAAAAAAAGCAAATTTCATTTCTTCCCTGTAAGATGAGCAGTTTATAGCCAGTTTTGTTGGTCCCACTTTCAGGACATATTCCATGTCCTTTGTGTGTAAAAGCTGAGGAATACAGGAAACTGATCTCCGCATGAAACTATTGCCATATAAAGAGCATCTGTTTTGCCTTCTTCTAGCAGAAATTTTCTGATAAACTCCAGATAAAGGTTTTCCAGTCACCCTCCAAAATTTCTAGTATGTAGTAAGATTTGAACTGTTTTGTCTTCTCACATGTGCAAGTCTTTGAGTTTTCAGTGGAGGATCTTCTACAGACAGTTTTCATAAAGCTTCTTTCCAGCATGAACACTATGATTAGTAATGAAGTATGAGTTATAAATAAAATCATACTCACATTCAATACAAACAGAAAAGGACTCTCTCCTATGAATGATGATTAAATGGTTTCAGTGAACATTTTCTTTTTTTTTTTTGTGGAACTGGGGCTTGAACTCAGGGCCTTCACCTTGAGCCACTCCACCAGCCCTATTTTTTTTGTGAAGGGTCTCACAAACTATTTGACCAGGCTGGCTTTGAACAGCGATCCTCTGATCTCTACCTCCTGAGTAGTTAGGATTATGGCGTGAGCCACGGGCACCCAGCGAACAGTTTCTTATACTTACTGAATTCAAAGCATGAGATTCCTTTTGGAAACAATATGCATTTTTATTAAAACTTTAAAATATAAAATTGTTCTAAAATAGTTTTGCCGCAAATCCAGATGAACTACAATATGATGTTGGCATGAAAACACCTGGCTAACCCCCGCTGCTATCCTTGTGAAGTCTACACTCCACATGCCCCCAGTCTGCACTGCTCTCAGAGGTCTGCCTAAGACTGAGCTCCCATTCCATTCCCTCATTGGATCCCAAGTGCCCCTGCAGAGGCAAGGAGCCACACAAAAGAAAGTCTTTCCTTTGAATATTAAGTTGACAAAAGGTAAAGAAGTTCCTTCCTCTCTCGCTCTGTCCTGGGGAGTGTAGAATTTTATATTTTTAAATATACCTAAGATTAAGATGGTTGAGAATCACTATCTCAGTAATCCTACTAAATTAATTTTTATTTTTTGGTGGTACTGGGGTTTGAACTTAGCGCCTGAGGTTCTCTACCACTTGAGCCACACCTGCAGTCCTACTAAGCTAATTTTTGAAATCCTTATTTTCAAATTCCTGGGGTCTTAGACCAGTCTTCATTAAATTCATTTTCTGTTAAGGCAAAGGCACAGAATTAAGACATCTGGGCAGCTTTTAATCAATCTCCCCCTTTTGCAGGAAGTTGGGAAGCTACCATAATAAAATAAGACTCCATGAGAGGTAATTTCCTCTTACGTATCACAATTTGCAAAGCTTCAACAAAATGAGAATAAAGCGATGTTGTAGATTAGAGCATTTCCATTTTTAAATCAATAATTTGGTAATTTTAAAATATACTTTGGAACATCAAACCCTTAAGTATGAACAGATAGCTCAATGAATTGAGGGCTGGCAGAGTGGCTCAAGTAGTGGAGCATCTATCTAGCAAGTGTGAAGCCCTGAGTTCAAACCCCAGTACCGCAAAAAAAAAAAAAAAAACCAAAAAACAAACAAACAAAAAACCCAATGAATTGAAATTTTCTATCAATGACAGAATGGTATAGTCCCATACTTTCTTTGAGAACTAAAAAGGATGGAAGAAATATTAAACACGTTTAATTTTTTGATGGCAAAGGAGATCGACACAGTGAGGAATTGCAGTAATTAAGACTAGAGATAAGCCATACTCTCTGGAATTTGGGATTGTTTATTATTAAGAGGTGTGAGCTAATTCTTACAGCAAATACTGGGCAAGAGAGGATGAAGGGCCTTTTTGACAAAATCATGGACCAAGGAGATAAACACTAGAATTCTGGTCCTTCCAAGGAAGAGGGACCTGACAAACTTCCCACAGTCTTAAATCTTCACGGTGTCCCCTAGACATGGCGTGGGGAAAAATACACAAGTTTCCACAAAGACTAAAGCCCAGGTTCAAATAACTCAGTACACGACTGGATAAAGGCAATCAGGCATTGCTAGTATCCCTGGCCTGGTCACCTGCTGGAAGCAAAGGTAAATCTTCTCTGGAAGAAGATATCATCAAACCATCTTATCTCCACAAATGTAATACAACCCAAGAAAAACAATGACAAAGAGAAACAGGTAAATAGAGGATCTAGATAATGGGACTATCCCTAGAAGAGACGGAGAGCAATGAAACAGATGCAGGAATTGAACACACAACAGCTAGGAATTTTCCCAAACACATTTAAACACCACTAAACCATGTATCAAGAAAAATCACTGCAAACTCCAACCATAATAAACTCACAGAAAACCACACCTAGACATACTGTGTAATAGTTGAAAGCAAAAGCCAGAGATTTTAAAGGAGACAGAAGAAAAAAAGAAAAATCAGATCACTTCAAAGGTAATTATACGGGCAGCTTACTGTTCAATGGGAAACCAACTGTAATGAAATATATTCACAATATTAATAAAAGTAAGTGCTGACCTAAATTCTATACACATTAATGTATCCTTCAAAATAAAGCAAGGGCTGGGGATGCAGCTCAGTGGTAAAGCACCTGGGTTCCATCCCTAGCACCAAAAAAAAAAGCAAAAGAATGACATAACAAACTCATAATACTGAAGGGTGCTCTTAAGAAACGAGAAAAAAACCCATGGGGTTGGAGATGTAGCTCAGTAGTAGATTGCTAAGCATGTGTGAAGCCCTACGTTCAAATCCCAGTACTGCCAAGGGGGTAGGGAAGGGGATGAGAGAAAATAATTCCAGGGAGGGGGGAGTTTAAAGAACAAGAGTAAAAAAGTATGAAAAGGATAAGTATGTGTGCTAATTTAACTTGAGTATTGACTCTGAAACAATAATTGGCAATATCAACTAGCTACAGATTTCAAATGTGTGACATCAATACCATGTACGTCAAGAAGGGAACATGAAGTCAATTTCCTACCTTCTTCCCTTGTTCAGAAGTAGCATTAGTACTGATTTACATTAGCCTTTAAAAAGGAAAGTATGGCTATTGTATTAACACTTGAAAGTGTATTTTAAGCCAAAAAAGAAACCTTTCATAATGACAGTTTCAATTAACCAGGAAAACCATAACTCTAGATTTGATGTAAGTAAAAAAAAACTCAAAATAAACAGCAAATGTTAGTGGCTTATAAGGAGACAAATTCACAATTATTCTGCAAGATTAGGACACACTTATTTTAGTATCTGATTAAATGCAATGTGTAGAGAATGGGAAGGGTGGGAGTACTTTTTCAAATGTTCAACTATATTTTGTCTTCTAAGAAGACAATCTAAAATGCCAGACAGTTGTGCCTTGTGGTAAGCAAACATATAATGATTATGTAGAGAATGAACTAACAAAATTGGAGGCAAAGAATTCTACACTTTGAAATCCATTTTTCTTAATCTGCCTATTTTTCAAATGGGAATCAATATGAAAGTGCAGTTTTCCATGAACAAAGTTGAGGATCCAAGTGCTACCATGGAGATCTGGGTTCCTGTGGCCAAGCCCAACCCTAGGCCAGCTCTGCAGCGGCAAGTAGTCACACCATTGATCATAGGCTGACAGCATGTTTAGACCTCTGGGAAACTACTGCCACAGCACACACCAACAAATACTACAAATAATAAATAACAGGGATTTCCCACAGGGAAAAAAGGTGAGTCCTTTCTTTGTGTCAGTTTTCACAAAAACATCTGGCTTATTTTCACTGTTGATCTGAACTGACTGTAACTTCCACCTTGATTTCAGTCTTTATGGGGGATTAGACAATGAAAATTTTCTTACCACTCTTCTTGTTTATGAAATTTTTTGGGTACATATTGAACAGTTTTGCTACTCGAGGCATGAAAAACTCAACAGCCCTAAATTTGAACAGCTGTTTATCAAAAAAGCTGTGTAACAACTGCAAGTCAGCACTTTGCTTTTTGTTTGTTTGTTTGAGATGGGATCTTACTATATTGTCCAGGCTGGTCTTAAACTCTGGGGTTCAAGCCATCCTCCTGCCTCAGCTTCCCAAGTAGTAGTGACTACAGGTATACAGGTATATACCACCACACCTGGCTTTCACATCTTTACTCTTGGTTGTCAGGGCCTGATAATCTGTGAGGTAACCAAGCATGACCATGGCACAGAAACGCTTTTTCCAAAGTGTGAGTAACAGACATGAGCTATGCAATTCAGAGTCTCATAATTCTGACCAGATAGAACATGGTGGGTCCTGGTTTCCTCCTGCTTCTTAGTCATTTCTTTGTATCCCCACACCATGATTGTGGCACTGGGCACTCTACTTGACCAGTATCAGACTTCTGGGGTATACCTGGTTGACTTGTGAGCTGTGGCTTCCAGTTTAAGGCTTTCCCAACATCACTGCATTTATACGGTTTCTGTTTAGAATGAATTTTCTGGTGTTTGATAAGATTTGATCTGATGGTAAAGGCCTTTCCACATTCAGCACAGATATATGGTTTCTCTCCTGTGTGAATTCGATGGTGCTCGTGGAGTTGTGACTTCTTAATGAAAGACTTCCCACAGTCACTGCATTTATAGGGTTTCTCTCCAGTATGAATTCTCCTATGTCTATTTAAGTGTGACTTCTGGATGAAGGACTTCCCACATTCGGTACAAATATAGGGCTTCTCTCCCGTGTGAATTCTCTGGTGCATAATCAATGTTGACTTTCTTGCAAAGGCTTTCCCGCACTCACTGCACTCATGTCTTTCTCCGGTATGGGATTGTTGATGGATGTGGAGGCCTGACTTCCGAGTGAAGGCTTTTCCACAGTCACTACATTTATAGGGTTTCTCTCCAGTGTGAATTTTCTGGTGTGTAAAGAGATTTGATCTATCCGTGAAGGCCTTTCCACATTCAGCACATCTATATGGCTTCTCTCCTGTGTGAATTTGTTGATGTACATGGAGCTGTGATTTCTTAGTGAAGGATTTCCCACAATTGCTACATTCATAGGGTTTCTCTCCAGTATGAATTCTCTCATGGGTAATAAAATGTGATTTGTGGAAGAAGGCCTTCCCACATTCTGGGCAAGCATAGGGTTTTTCTCCTCTGTGGATTCTCTGGTGCATACTTAGTGTTGACTTCTGAATGAATGCTTTCCCACACTCACTGCATTCGTAATGTCTCTCGCCAGTATGGCATTTCTCATGGATCCTGAGCCGTGACTTCCAGGTGAAGGCTTTTCCACAGTCACTACATTTATAAGGTTTTTCTCCAGTGTGGATTTTTTGGTGTTTAATGAGATTTGACCTGTCAGAAAAGGCCTTCCCACATTCAGTACATACATAGGGTCTCTCCCCAGTATGAATTTTTTGGTGTATAATGAGATTTGTTTTGTGAGTAAAGACCTTCCCACATTCTGAACATATAAAGGGGTTCTCTCCTGTGTGAATTCGCTGGTGCACATGGAGTTGTGACTTTTTAATAAAGGATTTCCCACAGTCACCACACTTATAGGGCTTTTCTCCAGTATGAATTCTTTCATGTATGATAAAATGTGACTTCCGGATAAAGGCCTTCCCACACTCAGTGCACACATAGGGTTTTTCTCCTGTATGGATTTTCTGATGCATACTTAGTGTTGATTTTCTTGTGAAGGCCTTTCCACATTCAGTACATTGAAAGTGTTTCCTTGAAGAATGAATTTTTTTATGTATACTGAGGTTTGAATTCTGAGAAAAGCTTTTCCCACATTTACTGTATTCACAGAGTTTCTTTTCAGTATGATTTCTCTGGCACCTGAGCAGATCAGATTTCTCAATAAAGGCTCTTCCATACTTAGTGCACTTATAGGAGTTCTCATTAGTTTCCTGATGGTTTGACTTCAGGGAACATTCCTTCCCACATTCAGTGCACACACAGGGCTTCCTCCCACAGAAGTCCTCTGAGGCCCAGTGACGTGGGGCTTGTGGGTGGAGGCCATCTTGCTTTTGCTGCACTCATGCTGCTTTTCTTCAGCATCAATACTCTGATGAGTGAAGAGGGGTGACTTTTGGGTGAGAACTTTTACATAGTCAGAAAACAAACAGAGGCTGCCCCCAGTGTGGATTTTCTGATGCTGAGAAAGAGCCTGCCGATGACTTAGAAGATCCCTACATTGAATACCTGCACAAGCATTCACTTTGGCATGAGGATTCAGATGCATAAAAGTATCACTATATTCCATAATCCTGTCAAGACCTTTGTGGTTTCTGCTGTGACTAGGTAAGCTCTTTCTAAATGAGTTGTAGTGATGGAATCTTTTTCCTGAAGGCACAAGGTGTGTGTTCACATGAACCATCCTCCCAGTGTCCTCATATTCCCAGCCACTCTCACAAGCTGCTGTTGCCTTGTTGGGGAAGGCAATGTGACCTACAGGTTCATTCCGGCTTTTCTCAGATCTCCCTTGTTGTCTATTATCCTTCCATAATTCTTCTAAAGCAGAGTATGGGTCATCTCTTGTGAAGAGACTAATTTTTTCAAACTGCAAGGAAGCTTCTTCAGACATTAGCTGTTGTGAAGTCTCAAAACCAGTATCATCACCTAAAAAGGAAGAAAAGAAATCTGAAACAGAGACAAAGATGGGAGAGACACATCAAATTGATTCATGGTGAAAACAGGAAAATGAAAGAGGCATTACATAAATATAAGAAATATATAAATATGTAAGTTATACATAAATAAATATAACATATATATAAGTATACATAAACATGTAATTATCTTTCACTTTACATTTACTATATGGTACTGAATGTAACACTTATATTCACCTTATGATAAACAATAGCATTTAGATGCACTGTTTTAAGTTTTACATTAGCTCATTTAAACTTTATCACAACCCTTTGTTGCTGGTATTATTTTTCCTATTTTACATATAAGGAAACTGAGCCACAGGAAGAATTTAATAATTTGCTTAGATCGAATGTTTAGTAACTGAGGAGGAGGAGATTCAAACCCAAGCAAGTGGAATAGAAGTGAAGTGCCAGAAGAACAAAGTGACAAAACCTCATGGCTTAAAAGATTATTTCGGGCTGGGCACCGGTGGCTCACATCTGTAATCCTAGCTACTCAGGAGGCAGAGACTAGGAAGACTATGGTTCAAAGCCAGTCAGGGCAAATAGTTCGTGAGACCCTATCTTGAAAAACCCTATCACAAAAAATTGGGCTGGTGGAGTGGCTCAAGGTGAAGACTCTGAGTTCAAGCCCCAGTACCTCAAAAAAAAAAAAGATTATTTCTGCTATTTTTGAAGTGCTAGAGAGCAAACCCAAGGGCTTTGTACAGATTAAGTACGTACTCTACCACTGAGCCACACCCTAGCCACTAAAGGAAGTATTTCTAAGTCTAGGTTCCTATCATCCTTCATCTGTAAATCCTCACTAATCTTCCCAATTTCTATTTTCCCTATTAGTCAGTGTGGCTAAATACCAATTCACTTATGTTTATAGTAGCCTCAGTCATCTGACTTAGCCAAAGAGTAAACTGGATGTCTGTAACTAAGTCTTTTATCACTGTTTAGTCTCTTATCCCTGCAGAGCTACGGGTATCCAGCAGGAAAACTGCCAGCCATCTGAGACTGAAAGCTGCCTATCCAATCTGTCCCTTTCCTGAATAGTACTAAGCTTGTACCCAACACACAGTGGCCTTAGAACACAGAGATTGCCCAGCCTCGTTTACTGTTAGGTGGGACCAAAGTAACCCAGTTCTTATCAATCAAATGGGAGTAATTTTTACAATATATATGTTATGACAAAGTCAGTGTCTTAAGGAAGTAGGTGTGGTCTTCCACAAACCTATTCTCTTCCCACAAAATATTCCAGACTCGACAGCTCTATGCAGACACAACACCTCAGGGTAGGGTAGAATGCTTTGGCATTCAGGTGTCAGGCCTCTACCAAAAAGCTAAGAATATATTTCAGTTTTTAAATGGTTGAAAAAAGTCAAAAGAATACTTTGTGACTATAAAATTATTTAAGTTTCTGTGTTCATAAATTTTTTATTAGGGTTTGAACTCAGGGCTTTCTGCTTGCCAGACAGGTGCTCTACCACTTGAGCCAAGCTCCAGCCCTATAAAGTTTTTCATTCACTGATACCATTGTCTATAGCTGCTTTGGAACTATGATAGCAAAAATGAGTACAGACAGCAAACACATGGCCTCCAGGCTGAAATGTTTACTTTTGGGTCTTTACAGAAAAGTCTTGCCAGTCCTGGCCCTAGGAGATGGTGGTACAATGACCTTTTCTAGAAACTTTATCTCTGAATGGCCACTTGAAAAGAGTGCCTGGCAAAACTGGACCATACCCCAGGAGTTGCCATGCAAGGGTCAGTATTTGTATTTTTTAAATCACTGTTTCTTGGGGTCTCTTAGTTACAGGAGCTGGGCTTTATTCTAACATTTCATGTTCCTGCCCAAATCATACTAACATTTCAAATTCTGGAATAGTGTATAAAACACAATAGATCCTTAGTGACTATTTATGGAAAGACTGAATTACACTATCATCTTATTTTAAGAGTTCTTGAATCTAGACACAGTCTGGCCTTCTATTCATTTTATTGTCTGAGGGCCTTGTCATGTATCCAGGCACATTCTTTAATTTTTTGTACACTTTCATTCACACATTAGTGGCTGTCATTCATCCTGAGGACACCTAATACTCAAGATTGTGATCAATTACAATTTTTTACTTTCTTTAGCTGATAAACCTACCACTACACCTGATGGCATCTACATTACTACCAATGATGTTCAATGCAAAAAGTGTGCTATCCTACTAACGGTTCGTTAGTCACCACTGGCTTCTAACCTAGTCAAAAAAAAATACAGTCATTCTACAGGCCAATCAAATGTGCATTCATGCATCCCCCCAGTCATCACTATTGCATTACAAGTACACATGCAATTCTTTCATTTTCTCCACTTAAGCTTCCTTCTTCTGACTGGCTGTCCCTATTCAAAGGTCACTGTCCTTCATGAATCACTTAGAGCTTTCTGCTCTCAAAACTAATTTCTAATCTCACCACAACTCTAGGGAGACTCTTCTGTCTGTTTAAAAACAGACATAGACGTGTGCATTAGCAAGGCTGAAATTTTAAAGCTTTTCCAAGTCTACCTCTGGCTCACTGAACTGTTCCCAGAAGACAACATTTAAAATCCTTCTGAATCAGAACCTTTTCTGCTTATAACTTAAACTCTATAATTAGATTTTACTAAATATTTTTTATGAAATGTTCATTAAAATACAAAGTGGTTGACGGGGGGTGTGGCCCAGTGGTAGAGCACTGGTCTATTATGACCCAGGCCCTGACTTTGATCCCCAGCACCCTGGGTGCACAAGTACACAGATGGGCAGAACACTTAATTATACAAAGAATGTAGCTTTATGTGCACTTCAGGGGGTTGGAGAAATAGAGAAGGGAAAAGAGCAATGCATGCTGTAATAGCTCCAACTCAGGAATACGTGAAACGTGTACAAAGTGGAAGTGTGTGTTAATTTTGGGTGTGTGTGTGTGGCGGGACTGGAGTTCGAACTCAGAACCTTGCACTTGCTAAACAAGCACTTTAGCCACCCCTCCAGACCTTTGTGCTTCAGTTGTACAATGTTTTAAGTAGTGAAGTCTATCAGACACACCTAAGATGAGCTAGTTAAAAAAAAAGGAGTCAACATATCCCAACAGGGTGAGAATAATCCAGGCACAAGAAACAGAAGTATGGCTTTAGTGACACCACTGGGAAGTAAGAAGAGGCATCAAGATAGTATTTTCTGCAAGAGAAAAACTGATGGAAGAACAGAATGAGCTACTTGAGAAAACAGATTGGCAGAAAAAGTAAAAACCCACAACAGAATAGGACAAACTTTGGCCAGGTGAGCCACTGGCTTGTATAGGCAGTCTTTTACAGGCAGCCCTCTGGTGGACCACCCTGTACACATAACATGCTGGTATTTCCTGAGTGCCAGATTTGATGGGGCCGATGCCTGGCTGAGACAGAACAAGTCATTCCCCTGATCCAATCATAAGTCACAGATGAACTGAGACAAGCAATTCAACCTGAGGCACACAGGCCAGGAATAACACTCATGAGCCAAGCAACTGAAAGGGCAGCCCAACCCTAAACTGTCTCTAATGCCAACCGTAACTTCTACATTGGGTTGTTATGAATAGGGAGGGCAGAGTCAGTAGAGCGGTTAGGAAGATAGAAAGACCCTGCAGTGGTGGGCACTGTTTGCACGGACTCATCACTGTCCCACCATTAAGTCCCCTCAAAGGAGGCCTTGGTTCAGAGGTCAGGAGTGCTGATGGGACACACACCAAGGGGACATGAGGAGGCTCAGTGTTCACATAACGAGGCTGTGGAAAGTGCTCCAAGCAGGCCCAAAAGTGGCCCTGAGATCACAAGAGAAGGAAACAATCCTGGGGTTTCTATGGTGATTCAGGGTGGGGTTGGGCTGCCTGTTTTCATACGTGGTTATCACCAGCACCAAGGGAAGGAACACCTGGATTTTCTTATCAGTTTGTTCAGATGTGGGATAGGACAGAAGGGGAGGCAGGTAAGGCTTAGAATATACCAGTAGCCAAACATCAAAAATAGGCTGGGTGTGGTGGTACACACTTGTAATCCCAGCTACTCAGGAGACAGAGAATTGGAAGATAGTGATTTGAGGTCAGCCCACACAAAAATTTAGTGAGGCCTCATCTCAATAAACTAGTTGCTATGGTGGTACAACCCTGTAAGCCCAGCTATGCAAGAGATATAGGAAGGAGCACTGCAGTACAAGGCTTACTTGGGAAAAAAGCATGAAGCCCTATCTCAAAAATAGCAAAAAAGCGAAAAAAAAAAAGAGCTAGCGGCTGAGGGTGTGACTCAAGTGGTAAGAGTACCTGCTTAACAAGCATGAGGCCCTGAGTTCCAGCCTTTGACAAAAAATAAAATATAAAGTCAGAGTCTATGACAAGATCCAGAATGGAAAGCTTAACATATTTTGTTACTGAAGAGACAAAAACTAAAATAATTAGAAGTTGAAACCCAGTAGGTTAGCTGAGTTGCTAGAAATATGGGTAAATACTAGGTTGACTCAGCCCCTGCTGAGGGAAATTGATGCCCCATGAAATGTTCAGACATTGAGAATGACATGGCCAATCCAGGGAACAGGGTGGCCACACTGTCACAGGACTGTAGACGCAATGACAGAGCAAGCCCACCACTCCTGAGAAACCTCACTTCCTGTAAGAACAGCCCGTGACACATGCACTGTTTGCCGTAGCTGAGAGGCTAGGCAAGCAGTAAGTGGTACACAGCCGCATTGCAGAACTCTATGCAAGCAGATACCTTAAAAGCAACTGAGGCCAATAGGAAAAGGGACCAGGAACTAGAGAAAAGGTTAGATCAAGAAGAATTATCCTAGAAGGTAACACAAACACACACAGGAAATTAATGTGAGTCAACTCCCTGTGTAGCTATCCTTATCTCAACCAGCAAAAACCCTTGTTCCTTCCTATTATTGCTTATACTCTCTCTTCAACAAAATTAGAGATAAAAGGGCAAAACAGTTTCTGCCAGGTATTGAGAGGTTTGGGGGGAGAGGGAGGGGGCGGAATGGGTGGTAAGGGAGGGGGTGGGGGCATGGGGGAGAAATGACCCAAGCCTTGTTTGCACATATGAATAATAAAACAATAAAAAAAAAGAACTCTATGCAGCACTTAGAAGCAATGAATGAAAAAAAAAAACACGTTGCAATTTGGGGAAAAAAGTAAAAAAAAAAAGGAAAGAATGAAACTGACCATTTTTATTTCTATAAACTACAAATACCAACATTTTTTTTTTTGTGGTACTGGGGCTTGAACTCAGGGCCTTCACCTTGAACCACTCCACCAGCCTCTTTTTGTGTTGAGTATTTTCGGGATAGGATCTCGTGAACTATTTGCCCGGGCAGGCTTCAAACTGTGGTCCTCCTGATCTCTGCCACCTGAGTAGCTGGGATCACAGGCGTGAGCCACCATTGCCCAGGACGGCAAATACCAACAATTTAGATTTTACCAATATGCACAAATTTAAGGACAGATGGCACATGTAGTAGGGCAGATGCCTGTGGAAAGAATTAAACTCAGTGTAGGAAAGGTGAAATTAAAAAGAGTAAATAAAGTAAAGTGGGGGGGGCCTTAAATATATTGATGATGATACTAACCACAAACTAAGGCTATAATGATAACTCAGTTTCTTGCACATGAGGTATAAAGCTGCTTGTGAAATGTCAAAATTTGTAAGAACAAGTCAGTGCTATGTTATACTAGCCAAGTAGGAAGAAAAGATCCAGGTGCCCACAAAGTCAACAGTTAGAGGGGAGCACAAGGAGATTATAGAATAAGCCTACCTCTCGGTGACAATGCTGAGACACAGAAGGAAAAACAGAGAAAATGAAAAGAAACCAACAAGCAGGAGTGTGACTCACCATGATCTGTAAGGAAGGCAGAGCTATGAGTGTTTAAAAGCATAAGAAAGGGATCTAACATCTAATGAAGGAAGCAATAATAAAAACTGTTGGGCACGGTGGCTCAGTCTTATAATTCTAGCTACTTGAGTGGTGGAGACTGGGAGGATCACGGTTTGAGGACAGTCTAGATAAAAAGTTTGAGAGACCACCCCCCTCCAAACCAACATATAGCTACCAAGAAAGCACAAATGGAATCATGGTCAAAGCTGGCCCAGGCACAATCTAAAAAAATAACCAACACAAAAGGGTTAGTAGAGTAGCTCAAGGGGTAGAGCACCTGCCTAGCAAATCCAAGGCCCTGAGTTCAAACCCCAGTATGGAGAAAGGAAGGAAGGGAGAAAGGAAGGAAGAGAGGGAGGGAGCGAAGAAGGAAAAAAATGAAGGAGGAAGAAAGAAACAATAAAACCGTTTAGAGAAAGAGAGAAAGAAGCAAGAAAGCAGGGTGCTAGAAAACGTAGGCTGCTCTAAAGTACTGGTAATTGTCATGCACTCCCTTCTAAAAAGTCAGGTGAAGGCAGCACTGGTAAAGAAAGGGCCTGAGGGGAAAAGAATTTAGACACCCGAGAGGCTAACATCAACTCTATGCAAGCAGTTCTGAAAGTCAGAATGTGAGAAGAGAAGTCCTATTCATGCACTTGAAGTGGCCAGCCTCTCCCAGCCCAGTGCATGTCAGTCATGCTCTCTTTTGTGCTCTTGGCTCCTGACTCACCTAGACAGCTCAGACTTGAGATGTCACCATCCAGCACACATGGCTCTCCTCCCTGCTCCAAGTTGAAGATGACTTCTGGTTTGGGAACTAGACACCCTTTGAAAAGAAAGTACAGAGGACGTGGTTTCAGAGGCCATACAACGAAGCATGCTGTGTGCTTTCCAGAAGATCATGGAAACAGAGCATGGGGAACAGAGGCCTTTTTACCCAAAAGAAATTACTAAAAACCTGGGACAAAATAAAGACCGAACCATTATACACTTCAATTGCCCTCCTGGCTTTGGAAGAAAACTTAGATTTCAAAACTCCCACTAAGAAAGAAAAACCAGTAACACAGGTGCAGCCCATTATGTGCTCGCAAGGCTGCGCTCACCCACTGACAGCAGGTTGAAATAGTTGTCCAGCATTACGTCCCTATACAGGCTTCTCTGGGCAAGGTCCAGGTGCTGCCATTCCTCCCTGCTGAAGGCTACGGTGACATCCTGGAATGACACAGACCCCTGCAAAAACAAATTCCTACTTAATGTGAAGATGCTGAAGAAAAAAGGAATCATATCAAAATTATCATGCTAGTCCTTTTGCAGTATTGATAATATTCTTTTTAAAATCTGTGTGCCAGTTACACAGGAATAAGCTGTCAAAGTTCTCAAATTGTATATATATATATGTGTGTGTGTGTGTATATATATATATGTGTGTTTGTATATGTGTGTGTGTGTATATATATGTGTGTGTATACATATATGTATATATATGTTCTGCACTCTTTTCTATATATGTCATATTCTAATAATAGTTCACTTAAAAAAGAACTATATTCTGCCATTCATGTCACACAATGACCCACTAAGTCAACTTCTTCTTTGAAAAAGATAACTAAAATAGACTCTTTTGCTGGGCATATTGGTGCACACTTGTAATCCCAGAATTTGGAGATGGGAGCAGAAGGTTGGCAAGTCTGAGGCCAAAATACAGCTACATGGCAAGACCCTGTCTCAAAAAAAGAATCAAATCAAACTAAAAAAACAGATTCAAAACAGTATAGTACTAGCATACAGACATACAGACCAATGGAATATAACTGGGGATCCATAAATAAACTTGATATTTATTGTCAACTGGTAATATCCAAAACAATTTAAAAAGAAAGAACAGTCTTTCAACAAATGGTGCTGAGCCAAGTAAGAGTCACATGCAATAAAAGTTGGACCCTCCTTCATAGTAAAAAAGTTACCTCAAAGTGGATCACAGGTCTCAATGTTTTTACATTTAGCCAAAAGGTACATTTTAGCTAAAATAGGTCTTTATAACATTGGATTTGGCAATGATTTCTCAGATGTAAGGCCAAAAAACACAAGCAGACAAAGGAAAAAAACAGATAAATTGGACTTTATAAAAATATAAACTTCTGGGCCAGGTACCGGTGGCTCACTCCTGCAATCCTAGCTACTTGGGAGCTTCCAATTGGGAGGATCAGAGTTTGAGGCCAGCCCAGGCAAATAGTTTGCAAGACCCCATCACTAAAATAACCAGAGCAAAAAGGACTGGAGATATGACTCAAACAGTAGCGTGCCCGCTTTGCAAGTGTGAAGCCCTGAGTTCAAACTCCAGTATTGACAAAAACCAACAACAAAAAATACATATAAACGTACATACATATATATGTGTACATGCATACAAACATACACTTTTGTGCTTTAAAGGATACTATCAAGACAGTGAATAGCTGGGCACTGTAGCTCACACCTATAATCCTAGCTACTCAGGAGGCAGAGATCAAGAGGATCACAGTTCGAAGCTAGTCCTGGCTAGTTCATGAGACCCCCATCTCGAAAAAACCTTCACAAAAATAGGGCTGGTGGAATGGTTCAAGATGAAGGCCCCGAATTCAAGCCCAAGTACTGCAAAAAAAAAAAAGAGACAAAGAAAGAAAAGAAAAAAGAAAGTGAATAGAAGGCTTGTGGAGTGCCTCAAGTACGGAAGTGCCTGCCTAGCAAGTGTGAGGCCCTGAGTTCAAACTCCAGTATCACCAGGCCCTGAGTTCAAACTCCAGTATCACCGCCCCCAAAAAAAAACAAAACAAAGAGAGTGATTAGGTAACTAACAGACTTGGGAAAAAATTCAAATCATATATTTAATAAGGTATTTGTATCTAAACTACACAAAGAACATCAGCAACTGAATTAAAATACAACCCAATTAAAAATGGGCAAATGAGGGCTGGTGTAGTGGGTCAAGTGATAGCGCCTGCCTAGTAAGTTTGAGGCCCTGAGTTCAAACCCCAGTACTGCCAAAAACAAAACAAAAGAAGAGAAAAATGGGTAAATGCTCCAAATATATACTTCTCCAGTGAAGGCAAGTAGGCAGTAAAACATGGTAAAAGATCATCTACACTACCAGTCATCAGGGAAATGGAAATCAAAAACCACAGAGATAACCCTTCAGCTTCACTAAGATAGTCGACTACAAGAAAAATATGAAAAAATTCAACTGAAAAGGGTTAATTCACCAGGAAGACAGAACAATCCTAAACATGTATGCACCAAACAATAAAGTTGCAAAATTCAAGAAGCAGCAATTGGTGGTAGGAAAAGGAGAAATGTGTTAATCTACAGTTGTAGCTGGAGACTCTTGTTTGTTTGAATAGCTAGACAATCTCAACAAACTTAAAAAAAACTGACATAATATAGAGTGTGTTCTCTCAACATGATGAAGCAGAACTAGAAATCTCCAGACACTTGGAACCTAAACACACTTCTAAATAATCCATGAGTCAAAGGGGAAATCTTGGGGAAATAAAAAAGTGACACTGAATTGAATGAAAAAAGAATATTAAAAGTTGTTGGATGCAACTAAAGCAGTTGTGAAATTCTTAGCAAAAAAGGCTTCCATCATTAAGATCCCACCTCCAGAAACTAGAAAGAAAGGATTGAAAAAAGCTCAAAGCAAGCAGAAGTAAGGAAACAATCAGACAAAAAGCAGAAATCAAAGGCATTTAAAAAAGGAAAATGTTGGGGGTAGTGGCTCATGTCAGTCAGGTCATCCAAGCTACTTGGGAGGTACAGATTGTTAAGGACAGCAGTTCAAGACCAACCTGGGCAAAACAAAAATGTCTGGGGCATGGTCAGATGTTAGAATGCATGCCTATCAAGCACCAGGCCGAGTTCAACTCCCAGTATCACAAAAAAAAAAAAAAAGGAAAGTATATAAAAATCAATAAAATGTAAAAGATTGTATGACACTATTACTAATAGATCTTTATAAACTTCTAGCATCTCAAACTGACACACACAAAAAGAGAGAAAAGACAACCAACATAGGAATAAAGGAAGAGATCCCAATATACATCTTGCAGGCACTAAAAGGATAACATGGAAATATTATTGCTGGGGACTGAACTGTGTCCTTCCAAAATTCATGTCAAAGTTGGAACCCCTGACATGACTGCATTTGGAGACAGGGCTTTTAGGAGGTACTTAAGGTTACCTGAGGTCAAATAGGTAGGGCTCTACCTGGGAAAAGCAGCTGTGAAGGAGAATGCTGTCTTTCTCTGTAGGCAGGTGAGCCCTAATGGGAGACCGTGTGAGCTCTCGGTGAGGAAGAAGGCAGCCTTCACCAGAGCTCAGCCACTCTGCTACCCTAAACCCTCACTTCTGGCCTCCAGAACCATGAGAAAATAAAGTGCTATTGCTTCATCCACCCAGTCTGTGCCACAACAGAGATAAATACATATAACTCTAAACACGTAAACTGGAAAACTTGAGCCAATTCCCAAAAGACACAAACCACAACTCTCACCCCAGTATCACAGCTACCAGGGAGGCAGAGATAGGGAGGGTTGCAGTTTGAGGCCTGCACAGACAAAAATCAGCAAGACCTTATCTCAATCAATAAGCCAGGCATGGTGGGATACACCTGTGAGCCCAGAAATGAAGGAGGCCATAGGTAGGAGGTCTGCAGTCTGAGGCTAACAAAAATGCAAGAATGGCTGGGGCATAGCTCAAACAAAAGTGGGCTGCAGGTATGGCTCAAGTATTAAGACTGCCTGCCTAGGAAATGTGAGGCTCTGAGTTCAAATCCCAGTACAACCAAAAATAAATAAATACATAAATAAATAGACAATGTGAGTAGCAATATAATTATTAAGGAAACTGAATTGTGGGCTGAGGGCATGGCTCAAGAGGTAAAGCCCCTGCCTAGCAAGCGGGAGGCTCAGAGTTCAAATGCCATTACTGCTTTAAAAAAAAAGAAATTGAACCTATAGCTCAAAAACTACCAAAAAAGGAATCTCCAGGCCCTATTTGACTAGAGAATTCTACCAAATATTTAAAGAATTAACCAAAGAGCCAGGGGTACAGCTAAGTGGTATAGCTCTCATCTAGCATGTATAAGGGTCTGGGTTCCATTCCCAGTACTCCCAAAAAGAATTAACATCAATTCTACAGTCTGTTCTGAAAACAAAAGAGAAGGAAATATTTCTTAATTAATTCTATGAGGACCAGTACAACCCTGATACAAAACTGGACAAAATACAGAAAAAGAACACACAAATTACAGTGTGGCAGAATAATCGACACAAAAGAACATATTTCAATTCTCTTGGCCAATAATAATTACCGATACCAAAACCAAAACCAGTAATCAAGAGAGAAATAGAGCAACAGCAAGTATCTCTCATAAATATGATGCCAAAGCTGAGCACTGGTGGCTCACACTTGTAATCCTAGCTACTTGGGAGGCTGAGATCAGGAGGATTGTGGTTTGAAGCCAGTCCAGGAAGAAAGTTTGCAAGACCCCGACTCAATCAATAGCTGGGCACAGTGGCATGTGCCTGTCACCTCAAACTACAGGGGAGGCTGAGATTGTGATTCTATGCCAGGCTGGGCAAAATAGTTTGGGAGACCCCATCTCAATGGAAAAAAGCTGGGTGTGTCATACCAGCTTCAGTGAGAAATCTAAAATAGGAGGATCAAAGTCCAGGCTGGTCTAAGCAAAAAGTAAGATCTTACTTCCAAAATATCCACAGCAAAAAAGGGCTGGGGGCATGGTTCAAGCAGGAGAGCATCTGCCTAGCAAACGCAAAGCCCTGAGTTTAAAGTCTAGTACAGCCCCTTCCCCCAAAAATCCTTAACAAAATATTGGTAAATACAAATATATAAAAATAAGCAGATGTCATGACAAAATAGGGTTTTTTCCCAAAATGAAAGGCTAGTTCAAAAATCAATGTAATCTATCATTTCAAGAGGTTAAGGAGCTAAAATCACCTGATAAATGTGAACTGATACAAAAAAAAAGTATTTGACAAAATCCAACACCTACTCATGATAAATCCCAAGTTTGCTTCAGAGGGTGAGGGTGGTCCTTACACAAGCAGCACTGTTCTTTAGGAATCAGTGAGGAATCCAAACCCTTGCATCCCATCCCAGAATCAGAATCTGAATTCACACCGAGTAAAGCATGAGAAGCACTGCTCTCCAGGACACAGGGAAACCCCGTAGTGCTCTGTACACAAAGTTGCTGTTTACATCTGTCACCATCCACCTAAGCATCTATTGAAAATCCTCTCAAACATCAAAAGCCAGAAATCAGTATTACTGGTGAAACAAATAAAATAATACAAAGTATATGTCCAATTTCCATTATTGTTTACCTGTCACAAAGATCAGAGACAATTTTATAGTTCAAAGTTTATAGCCACACACCATTTACATGTATCAAATTCCAGCTTGTCTTAAAAGTTGGTAAGTCTCTTCATTTTCTCTGATCTTAGTTTTTCTTTATCTATATTTGTCTTCTTACTATATGGAGTATTAGAAGTCTCCTAAAATCCACTAGGAAAATAAAATAAAGCAACAAATAAGTAGATGAACAAATTAGAACTCACCAGGGACTTGTTCATTTTGGGCTCTTCTGGAAAAGGGGCAGATCTGAGAAAACAGATGAGCAGAGGTACATGAGAACAGGAAGTGTACCGAGGTCATACATGGCTACATACATCACCTACTGCCTATGCACCTCTGACCCCAAAGTGTATTTCTAGAACTACATCATACAAAGGATTCCACACTGTACAAAGACAAAGGCAAGAGTTTTACCACAACATGGCCACTAGCAAAGGACTAGATTAAATATTTTATAGGATTGGCATAATGTTACATAGTTAAAATACTGTAGAAAAAAATATAAAAATGACAAATACATCATATAAAAATTACAATTCCAAAAGTATTCCATTTTCATTATTCTATGTTAACTTGTATATATACACATACACACACATATATAAATACATGTATTTATTTGCACTTAGTATTATCTAGAAGGAAATATACTAAATATGTTAACATATAATATTTGGATATTGTACATTGATAGGTAATTTTTTTTTTTTTGCAGTACTGGGGTTTGAACTCAGGGCCTTCACCTTGAGCCAGTCCACCAGCCCTATTTCTGCAAAGGGTATTTTCAAGATAGAGTCTCTCAAACTATTTGCCTAGGCTGGCTTCGAACCAAGCTCCTCCTGATCTCTGCCTCCTGACTAGCTAGGATTACAAGCATGAGCCACCAGCACCCAGCCATTGATAGGTAATTTTAATGTTTATATTCTTTTTACTTGCCAATTAAAAGCAAAGTAATTGTCTTTAAAGCATACATTGTCTTCCAGTGATTTTGCCCAAGTTGTGAGAATATCCAGGAGTAGACCAAAAAAGAGAGCATTCTAGCTTTTCTCACTGTTTTCCCTCACATACGGTTCTTGAAAGAATAGAGTGGCTGTGGCCATTGTTCCCAAATGTTTTTATGACAGTTTTCTAACATAAAGAAAATGTTGGTCAGTGCAAGAAATATAACATATTCTTCTACCTTCTTTTAACAATTAATAATGTGCCATATTTACTTAAATCTTTCACATATACAGTCATCTATAAACACTATATATATGTGTGTGTGCGTGTATAGATGTATATGTATGTGTGTGTGTATATATATATATATATATATAAAATGTGTGAAAGGTAGCAGAATATGCACTCCAAAGTATACCACTTTGGTATTAAGATTATTTTGAGCTAAGCAGATCCAAGGACACTTTAATCCTTTTTTTCCTCAAACCAAGAGGTAAAAACCAGGTGTGGTGAAGCAGGCCTATACCCCAGCACCCATGAGGCCAGAGGATCATGGGTTCCAGGCCAGCATGGGCTATGTAGTAAAGCTGACTGGAAAAAAAAAGGGGGGAGTCAAGTGAGAGATAAAAGCCCCTTGTGAAAAGACACCTTCCCTCATCACTAGACAGGGAGAAAAGAAACCTTCTTTGAAGGGAGTCACAGCCAAGAGAATTCTGTACAGACAGACCTTGTTAAAATAATTCTTATTTTCCTTTGGCCTCACCAAATGATTTGGCTACTTTTCCATGACAGCCTCTCTTTGTTCAACCTAATACAAAAGCATTTTAGTTTTGTCACTTCTTTGAGTCTTCATTTCTTTACATGGGCTCCCACATCACACAGAACTTATATAAAATGTACATGCTTTTCTACAAATCTGTTTAATGTCAATGTAATTCTCAGGCCCAGCCTAAAAACCCTAAGAGAGAAAAGGCAAAATTCTGTCTCACATTTCTATACTTTGTTGTTGAACAATTTGAAAGTTGCAGCTGTGACACCTTAGGCCTAAATATATCACATAAATCTAAAAGTCACTGTTATGCCTCAGAAAATTAATAGTAATTCTATAATATTTTAATATTCAGCTTATATTCAAAATTTCCCTAGGGGCATGGCTCAAGTGGTAGAGCAACTGCACAGCAAGTTCGAGGACCTGAGTTTAAATGCCAGTACTGTCACACACACACACACACACACACACACACACATTGCGTTTATCCCCAAAACACACATTCCCACTGTTTTGTTTGGAAATAAGTTCCAGTAAGGTTCACACACTGGCTACTGTGCCCCTTTATCCTAGCTCCCTCATCCCAATGTTTTTCCTGATTTTTGAATTTTTATTACATTTTCTTAGCATATGTAACATTTTTGGTTACTTGTTAATTTTGATTGAAGAAAAATACATCAAGTACATAAATATTAGGTACACAATGCATTTCCCCTGTTTTCCACATCTGTGCATCTGCCAGCACATCAAGACAGAGAACATTTCTGGAACTTTTGGAAAGTGTTAAGAAATCAAATTATTACTTGTGTCTTTTCATCCATAAATACTTCGGTAAACAGAGAAATGAAAAGGTCAAGCATTTCTGCCCCCTTTCCTCAAAGGCTGAAATTTAGTAATCCCAACACTTGATAACGAAATTATTATTTTTGGCAATAGAGATTGAACCCAGGGGCTCAGGTGTTCTCGGCAAGCACTCTAGTACAGCCCCCTCCTGTTTTCTTTAATTTCTGCCTGGGCTTGGCCTTGTACTGTGATCCTCCTACCCATGCCTCTGGCATATCACCAAGCCTGACTACATGAGACTGAGGGGCAGGGGTTACCATCACAGCATTACCCTCCTAACAAAAGTTACCCTAACTTCCTAATGTCATCCATAATCAAAATTCCCTTATTATTTAAAAATTTACTTTTTAAACTTTTTACCATGAAAATTTCAAACACACAAAAGTGGAGTAAGTACAAAAAGTCTTGCTAACTTTTACCCAGGCTGGCCTTGAACCCTGATCCTCCTGATCTCTGCCTCCTTAGTAATTGGATTACAGGGTGTGCCACCATGCCTGCACCTCCACAGCCCTTTTTGTTTATATTTTGTTTTTGATAAGGTCTCACTAACTTTGCTTCCCAAGTAGCTGGATTATAGCTGTGCACAACCACACCTGGTAGGAGTTTCTCTTTCTTTTTGTACCTATTCCAGCTAATGAATCAGAGGAATGATAGAAATGGAATATGTCTATTTTATGTACTCTTCATTAAATAGTAGATATGGGAAATGATCATCAATGTTGCTCACAGAGAGATGAGCAGACACATTTCACAATGGAAATATGCACTACCTGAGAAGAACTATTGCCAAAATAAAAAATTTTTAAAAAGGAAACTGAACCTCATCAAATCTCAAAATCTGCTCTTATATTAAATTTGGTTTGAGGCTGCTTCCATACCAGGAGTCCACACATAGCAAACTGCAACCTAACTACATGTGCAAACAAACCAAAACCTAACTTAGAGGTATAACAGCCAAGCTTTAGCCAATTATAAGCAGCCAACTCATCACACTATGCCCAAATAAGGCAGATGCTTAGCTTAGCCAATCAGGTGATTTCTTGACTTTGTTTCTGTGTCCCACCAGCCTATAAAAGCTCATTGCTCAGCCTGCTGGGCAGAGTTCTCTAAGTACCTCCTGGTTCTGAATGCTGCCCCATTCATAACTCTGCCCAAATAAACTGCTAAATTTAATTCACCTAAACTTTTTCTTTTAACACTGCCTTCCAATCCAAAGCGTGTGAAACAACTTTTAAAACACTGTAAGCTTTTAAAACTTACAATGGTTGTTTTTATTAAAAAGTAGTTATCTTTAGATTTATGCACTTAAGTATTTATGGATGAAAAGACCCAATGTTGAGATTTACTTCAAAATAACCAGCAAAGGAGGAAATGTGGGAGAAGGAAAGTACAGATGACATGGCTGGGCATGAGTTGACAATCGTGGAAGCTTGGGAATGGGCATATGGAATTCATTATACTTACTCCACTTTTGTGTGTTTGAAATTTTCATAGTGAAAAGTTTAAAAAGACATTTTTTAAGTAAGGGAATTTTGATTATGGATGACATTAGGAAGTTAGGGTAACTTTTGGTGGGAGGGTGATGTTGTGATGGTAACCCCTCCCCCTCAAAAAAAGTTCACATCTGATGGGTGTGCGGAAGTGTATGGCGTGAAATGAATACTATCTGGGATTTTAAAGCATTCTAGCCAAGGGCTGGGGGCATGGCTCAGGTGGTAAAGTTTGAACCCCAGTATTGCCAAAAAATAAATATATAAAATAAATTTTGGCCACAATAGGTGAAACAAAACTGGCAAAATGGTGGGAACTGCTGAGCCCAGCAATGATGGAATGTGGGTCTTCGTTATATTATTTCCCTACTTTTGCGGATGTTTTGTGGACATCAGCTGCACACTGTCCACCTTAGAAAATGGACCATGCCTAGGTATTTTTTTGTTTTGAGGGGGAGGTTGTTTTTGGTTTTTGAGATTGGAGAAGGGAGGACAAGGGAGGGAAACAGAGAACTATGTTCCTGAATGAGAAGATTCAATATTATAAGCAGGCCAATTCTCTCTCCACATAATGTGTACATTTAACACAATTCTAATCTAAATCCAAATTGCCACAGTTGGCTAGACAAGGAAAACATTATTCTAAAATTTATATGGAAGAATAAAAATGTGAGGATTGCAAGGAAATAAAAGGGAAATAAAAGGGATTAAGTGAGGGAGAAGTGAGAAGACTCATCTGTAATTGGGTTATAAGTGCTCTATATTGTCTGAAATGCAGGTCAGATATATAACCTGCAAATTATTTCCCATTCTGTGATTGCTTTTTTTTTTTTTTGGGGTGGGAATGGGGTTTGAACTTGGCTTTTCACTTCCAAAGCAGGCATTCTACCACTTGAGCCACACCTCCAGTCCATTTTGCTCTGGTTATTTTGGAGGTGGGGATTTACGTGGCTGGGGTTAGCCTTGAACCACCATCATCCTGAAGGATCATCCAAATGCAATAAAAATAAAAGCAGCAATGACAAAGTAAATTCTCAACGTGGATTCAAGATTAAAGTGCTTTTTGTTAGGAAACTAAAAAAGGATCTTATAATAATCGTACCCAATAAGGGAAAAATGATAGAAAATTCATTAACCATTGCCTCTCCCTGCCCACACAAATACAAATAAAACCCGCAAAAAAAAAAAAAAACTACACAGACCTGCAAAGTGAACTATTAAAGTGAGATTTTTATTGTACCTCTCCCAAGTAATATGAATCAAGTAGACTGAAATCACTAAAGACAAAAATATGAAAAATTCGAAAAGCCAGATTTAATAAACAGAAAAACAACTATGCACCGTGCAAAGATAATCTGGATAAACTTTTAAAAATTTAGATCTGACAGTCCACATTTTCTGACAAAGCAATAAAATAAGAAGGCAACTAAAAGCATCTTTAAATTTAAAGACGAAGAAACCCTCCTTAATAATTCAGGATCAAGGTAGAATATCAAATTGAGTAGAGCACCTGCTTTGCAAGCATTGAAGACCTGAGTGCAAACCCCAGTCCCTCAAAAAAAAAGGAAATTTAATTTATTCGTTTCATGGATAACGTATTTAACAACCTAAATACATCCGATATAAAATTTAAGAAGACGAGGAAAAGAACAAAAGCAATGACGTCTAAAGGGTAAAGGAGGAGAAAGTAACTTATCAGAAAGAAAAAATTTGTGTAAAGAGAGTCGGGAAGATAAACAAAACCAAGAGCCCGTATTTCCAACTGACCAATGAAGTAGATAGACCCTTGAGATGCCTGCTGATCTTTTAAAAAAGACGAAGAATGACAGGTGAATGGGTAAAAGGACACTTATCCGTAACCCCATGGCAGAACACTTACATCTTCAGCCAAGTCTATGGGAGGGAGAACGGGCGAGGAAGGGAAGCAAGAGGAATTCCACTTCCACGCACAGCGCTCCCGCTCACACCCGTCGCGCGGCCCCACTGGACCGCGCCTGAGCTGACCGATCCCGTAACCCGCCCCTCCCCTCCCCTGCCCTGCCCTCCCTCCCCTCCCCTCCCCTCCCCGCCCACTGCCCAGGCCCGGCCCACGGCTCACCGCCTACCTCGCACTCACCTGTTTGGCCCACTCTCCCTTCCGCCTGAGGCGGGGACTAGGGCCGCCCTAGCACGATGCAACCCACTTCCGTTCACAGCCTCCTTCCGGTCCCGCGGTCCTGCTGTGGGGCAGAGGGGGCTAGGCGTACGCATGCGCAACAGGCTTCTGGAGGCACTTGCCAGTAACCAACCTGGTGCTCTGCCAATCTCTTTGCAGGCTCAGGGGCTGAAGCTTGACGCCAAGATGGCGGCGCCCACATGGACACACGGCTGCGGGCAGCCATGTTGAAGATACAGAGAGATGGTGGTGCTGATGCCGCCTTGGTGTATCGCCTTTGAGTAAGCCAGGCTTGTCACTACAAGTCACCCGCGCTTTCCTCTGTGCCTCTGTGGACTCAACAGCACCAACAACCAAAAGGTACTAATGGACATTTATAGAACACTCCACCCCAAAACAACAGGATGCACATTCTATGCAAGCATCCATGGAGTATTTCCAAGATATGTCATAACCTGGGCCATAAAACAAATCTCAGTAAACTTAAAGCAACTGAAAGCATACACAACGTGTTCTCCAAACACACAATCACAAAAGAAGTCAAGGGCTAGGAGTGTATCTCAATTGCTAGAGCTCTTGCCTTGCAAGACTAAGGCTAGAGTTCAATCCCTGATACCACTAAAAAAAAGAGATGGAAAAAGCAATTACAGGGAAACCTCTAAACACCTGGAAACATAATACTAAATAATCCATTGTTCACAGAGGAAGCATCAAAGAAAAAATCTAAAATGCAGTGAAGTGAATGAAAATATAAACATTACATATCAAAATGTGAATAAATCAGCTGAAGCAATGGTGAGAAGACAGTTTATACCACTAAATGCTTACATTAGAAAAGAAGAAATTCTCAAATCAATAACCAACCTCCCACTTCAGTAAACTAAAAGGAATAGCAAAATAAAATAAAAGTAAAAAAGAAAAGAAAACCAATCAATGGACAAGAAAAATAACTGCCAGGTGCGGTAGCACAGGCCTGTAATAGCAACACTGGGGAGACTGACCTACCAAGAGTGAGACCCTGAGTTCAAACCCCAGTTCAACTAAAATAAAAAATAAGTTCAGGGCCAGTCTGGGCTACAGAGTGAGACACTGTCTCAGAAACAATCAAATTGAGAAAAATAAATTAAGCAAAAGCTGGTTCTATGGAAAGCCAATAAAAATTGGCAAGTCTGGGCTGGGTGTGGTGGTGTACACCTACAACTGCAGCTGCTGGAGGATCACAGATTGAGGTCAGATCAGGCAAAAAAAAAATTAGAAGACCCTATCTCAGAAAATAATCCAGAAATGGTGGTACATGCCTGTGGCCCCAGCAGGAGGTGTAGGCAGTAGGATATGGTCTGAGACTGACTCTGGAGGAAAAAAAAAAAGAAAAACCTGTGAGACCCTACCCAAAAAGTACCTAAAGGAAAAAAAAAAAAAAGGACTATGTGTATGTGTGTCTCTCAAGTGGTACAGTGCTTACCTAGCAATCTTGAGGCCCTAAGTTCACACCCTAGTGCTGACAAAAAAAAAAAAAAAGGCAGTATCAAGAATAAAATGAGTTACCACCACTATGGCCCTAAAGACATCAAAAGAATTTTGAAAAGAATACTACAAACAACTCTACAAACATAAATTTGTAGAAAAAAATTCAACTCCTCCTAAAGTACAAACTTCAATGCTTGAAGATGAAATTGAAATGCTGAATAGCACTGATGCACGGATGACACTTGCAGGAATTTCAGGTGCTCAGGGTTCTTGAGCCCCCTCTGAGGATGAAAGCACAGGCAGACTCTAACAGCAGAGGTTGGAAAAATTTTAGTTATAGAGAATTTAGTTGGAGAAAAGAGAAGAGAAAGACTGCATATTGGGGAATGCAGGGTGACCTGGAAACCCATGATCCCCTGGGCCAGGGTGGGGAGTGGGGTTTTATAGACTATTTTTGCATTGCCTGAGAGCGGAGATGCCTTTCAGATGCAAACAGGCGTTTCCTAGGAAGGAGAAGTGTCTCGTTTCCTAGGAAGGAGAAGTGTCTCGTTTCCTAGGAAGGAGAAGTGTCTCCTTGACCACTTATCACCTTTTGGGACCACCTGCAGTCCGTCCTTCAGTCCTTCATTTCCCCCTCTCAAAGGTCACCCTAACTGCAGTTAGGGATAGGGACAACGAAGTCTATTCAGCAACTGCTTCCTCCTGACAGGGGGCGATGAAGGGACCCACAGCATCAGGGCTGACCATGAGAGGGGTTGTCAAGAGGACTGCCATAGTAGGTTGTTTTCATTTCCATCAGAGGCATTTGTAGTTTGATGGATTCTAGGCGAGAAGAAACAAACTTGACAAGTAAGTTTAAAATGCAATGCCCAAACACAAGCAAGAGAATAATGGCAACTATAGGCCCCAGAAAGGGTAGGAACCAAGTCCTGGAGGGGAGCCAGGATTTTATTTGGTCCCACACCTGTGTAGGAACCTGAGTCTCAAGAGATTGTTCCCGGAGCCATTTAGCCTGTTGGAGAATGTAATCTGCATGTTCCTCTACAATGCCTGACGTGTTTATGTATGTGCAACAGGAGGTATTGGCAATGGCACATACTCTGCCTTGTTTGGCCAAGAGAAAATCTAGGGCCAGGCGGTGGTCCATTACCATACAGGCAAGAGCGACAAAGACCTTTGCATGTCCTTAATGGCAAGGCCTACCTAGTCTGAGGTGTCCTCTACCACTTTGGTTAGGTTTTTTGCAGTTACATGATAGGCAGTCACCCCATAACTGATTTCAGCAAGGGCTGCAACTAATGCTGTTATCCCTAAAACTATTAAAGTAGCCTCCCTTTTATCCCTCTGGGAAGCTGGTTTTATTTGTTAGCATTTTTCTTTTCTTTCAAATGGCTGCATGAGCATGCAGGATCAGGAAAGCATACTTTGACCAATCTCTCATCTATTTTGACTTGCCTGTTTACCCTGCGACTCAGGTAGCCCTAGTTCTCCTCCACCAGCTGAACGCTTGTAATTAAAAAATAACTCCATCAAAGTAACCAAGAGGGCTTGCATGGCCAGAAGGAGGACCCCTGTAGAGACATGGATAGGGACTCCTGATGAAGTAGACTTTTGTCCCCAATGTATCCTGTGAGGCATATATGCTTTCAATGAAAAGAGAGAGAGAGAGAGAGAGAGTGAGAGCATCTGGAGGCTTTTGCTCTGGTAAAGGTCAAAAAACGGAGACCTGTGGTTTTTGCCTTTTAACTGTTTTTTTTTTTTTCCCCTGAGGGCAGGCTGCGGAACCTGTTTAGCCAGTTAACCTGATGCTTCACAAAGACAGTTAAGCCTAAATTGGAGACTATCACTTTCTGGTGCTTGTAGGATTTTTTCCAAACTCCCTGAAGAAAGAAGCTCACTGCTATTTAGAGCAAAAGCGGGGAGGTGGACACTCATCCTGAATTGCTTGGAAAAGGGGAAGGAGAGGCTAAGGGTTGGGGAAAAAGAGAGTTTCCAGGCTCAACGCATGAGGGATTATTGATCATCCCTGCTGTCCAGGTCGATCCTGCCCAGAGGCAGTACTGGAGCACTGGAAGCAAGAGGTGACCTCCACTTGGGCCATGGAAACCATGAAGGAAGCATAAGAGATCTGATTGTTTGTTTACTGTGGACATGGCTGGAGGAGTCTGAGACTTAGCCACCTTTGAAGCCTCAGGGCGGGTCAGGAAGTTACATCTCCAGCCTTTGGGTGACACCAGGAAGGGCCCCAGCCAGAACATCTTTTGTGGCTTGAAGACAAACTTTCCTTTCCACTGGCTGTTTTCGGACCTCCCCTTAAGCTGGTCAGATCTTGAAAGAGAGAGTTAACATTTTAAGGAGAGGAAAAAAGAAAAAGCCTTGGTGCACTGAAGTCAGGTTCCACCCACATAGCATTGGCAGTGCAGTATAAATCCCCACCTGGCCTCTGAGTTTTTTCAGATTGCCTGATGTACAGCTGTAGTGGGCTTGGAGCTTTTCCTCAGTTTCCCAAGGAAGAAACCCTCCTTAACAAGAGAGAGAAAAAAGTCAACCTGAGAGTTCCACCATAGCTAGGCCGTGGTGGGGGGGGGCCTCGCCTGGAAAACAGACTCCACCAGAGTGCCGGACACTCACGGTCACATTCCTAGGCAGTCTTTCCCAGTTTGGCACAACCTATACTGACCTCAGGTGACAGCTGGTCCCTTCCTAGTCGCCAAATATGATGCATGGATGAAACCCACAGGAATTTCAGGTGCTCAGGGTTCTTGAGCCTGCTCTGAGGATGAAAGCACAGGCGGACTCCAACAGCAGAGGATGGAAAGATTTTAGTTATAGAGAATTTAGTTGGAGAAAAGAGAAGAGAAAGACTGCATATCGGGGAATGTAGGGGGACCCGGAAACTGGTGATCCCATGGGTCAGTTTTATATGGTCCCATGGGTCGATGACTCCATGGGGAGTGGGGTTTTATAGCCTATTTTTGCATTGCCTGAGGGTGGAAATGCCTTTCAGATGCAAACAGGTGTTTCCTATGGCGGAGAAGTGCCTCCTTGACCACTTATCACATTTTGGGACCTCCTGCAGTCTGTCCTTCAGTCCTTCAGCACTATAACTAAAGGTATAATTTAAAACATCTGAAAAACAAACCTTCATGCTCACGTGGCTTCATTGGAGAATTCTAACAAGCATTTAAAATTTATCACAAATAGCCAGGCGCCAGTGGCTCACATCTGTAATCTGAAGAAGGATAGAGGCTCAAAGTCAACCCAGGCAAATACTTCGAGAGACCTTATGTCAAAAAACCTTGGCTAAAGGTGAAGGTCTGAGTTCAAGCCCCAGTACTGAAAAAAAAAGATTATCACAAATTCTAGACAGTCTTGAGCTGGCAATGTAGCTCAGAGGTAGAGCACTTGCCTACCATGGGTTCAGTACACAGCAGCATGAAAAATATCTAAAGAAGTTCTTCCAGAATAAAAGAAAGAAACACATCTTAACTCATATTATGTAGCCAGTATTAGTCTGATACCAAAACCAAAGGTAGTACAAGAAATAGGGGTGGAGGAGGAGAAGAAATCAGAATCAGTCATTAATATAGAG